TTTTTTTTTTTGTTTCGATTATTCCATATTCCAACGAATTGGTTTCACTTCTGCTTTCAGGTTGAACTTTGGGTGCGCCCCACCTGCCATCTTTTCGGCTTTCGTGTCGCAAGCTTATTATTGCATATTTTGGGTTCTAACGGGTCCGTCATTTCTGGAACCTTGCCCATGAATGTCAGAGGGAAAAGGCTAAATAAAAATCCAAAGCAGGTAGGATGAATGTATTTCATTGGCTCATTCGTTTGAATAGCATGAGAAGTGCGTGATGCATACCAGCAAGTCGAGATAAATGGTTTTCCACTGACAATAGTTTCACATTTGCAGATGAAATCAGTAGTACATGCAGTGGATGAACGGTTGCGAATTCATGTGGCGCAGAAGCAATGGCCGCTCCTGGATTTTCGAATTGCAAGAAAAAACCAACCTCAAGTTTTCTGCGGGCAAGCAGTCATCCTGAGCGTAGAGGTTAGGGCTTCGGGTGTTTTATTGCATGGAGCCAAAGATCTCCAAGCTCTATTCAGGTTGAAAACATCGGAAAAGAGCTGGTGAACGCACTTTGCTTGGCAACCGATGGTTTGGATTGCGTCTCTGTATCGTTGGTGGATACGCGTGGGAAAAAGTAAGTTGTTGTAAGGAAAATGCCTCTGATATATTTATATAGTTACTTATAAATATAATATTCCTTTAGAACATTGGTCAGATCGTCTCATTCCCCAACGAACAGTGCTCTCTTAACCTTTGAGTTGGAAGGCGTTCACATTCCTGTAGGAGAGAAAATATGGTAATTTTAACGCTGCTTATCTTTATGACAACCGTGTTTATGTCCGGTTCGTGTGTTTAGGTTGACTGTGACCGTTAGAGCGCCAGCTTTACCAGGTGAAGAGTCGGATATTGGACTGGTATTTTATTATCGTGGTGAAAATCTCACATATCGTCAATGGCAGACCGTGGTCTCGTTGCGTCCGGTTCCTTTGTTCGAGTCTTCGGCGGTGTTACTTGGTAATGTCCCTTAGAAACTCATCACTGAAGCCCAGATTTGTGCTGCTTAAGTGTTAGAATTGCGTGTGTTCATCAAAGCGACTTGAAAATAGCTTATGTGACCAATTTGGTACTGAAAATACACATTTCGGTCATCGTTCTTTCACTAGCAAACAGTAGTGCGACACGATTTTCCCATGCATTTCAATCTGAATTTGGGAACGTTCAACTATAATAATATCTTGAGCATGGCGCTTCCGTAGGCGCATTCAAAGTAGAGCGTCGAGCGCCGATTCCCAACTTGTTTCATAGTGAACAGTTTGAACATTTAGCATGCATGAATTGTTTTTAAGAAGTGGATAACGCCATGTCATCAACGCTGAATCTAATTTTTAGATGAGGTTCATGGTATCGTTGCAATAAATATGCGAAATGTGATGCCTGCTAATGATGCCGCCCTTGCGCGATGCGAAGTCTTGCGTATACGTCTTGTATCCCAAAACATTAATGATAAAGGATGTTGGACAGAGGTTGATCACGCGAATGTCTCACTTCAACCAATGAAGGTCGGGTCACAAGGTGGGTGAACGATTTTTTTTGTTTGCTTTTCCTTTTTTTTCTCCTCAGAATTCGTTACCAAAAACTAAACAAAATGTATATAATCTTGCTTTACACTTTTCATGAATAGTATAAATTTTGCTCTCCTTCAGTACATTCCACTTCTATATTACTTCTTTCCAGTGCAACTGGACTGTGAACAGTCATGCAATGCATGTATTAGAATATCTGTACCATCCGGTGTAAAAAATGAGGATTACGGTGTGGATGGTGTCAGTTGGTGGTTGAGTCCTATGTCGGTGGATCCACCATCTTGGCCTGCTGCTTTACCAAATGCGTCGAGAATTGTGGAAGATTCCCAGCATCCATTTGACAACTATTACCAGCTGGCTATCTTCTGGAAAGCCAGTGTTGTAGATAACGATGGTCACGTAAGTTTATTTATATATAATAATTATATAATTATTGTGGCGAGTGCTTGGAGCGCTGATGCTTGCAGGTGTCATCTATTGTTGGAGAGACATTCATCGACGAGCCTCTGACAGCTGCTAAATTAAGATTTCCCAGAACAGATATGTGGTCTTTGAAAGGAGACTCCTTTTTACGGGACGGCCAGTCCCATTCTCAGGAGCCCCCTCTTAATATTATCTGCCGCCCTATCAAGCCTATACGACACAATTTTGAATTAAATAGGTAATATTGCTATGCAGATATTTGTTCTTTTCAAAGCGTTCCTACACGAAGTTTAGGTTGTGTCAAATTCCGCTTGAAGTGCTAGTTACGAATGTTGATCATGGGAAGCGCAGTGCTGATCTCACGTTAAGATATAGACCTAAGGTGAGTGTCCGCCTATGCAGTGACATTTAAAACGTAAGCGCAAGCGACACTCTTCTCTTTTGAGGTTACGGAAGCTGTAACATCGCTGACGCAATTGCCACCTGAAAATCGTCAGCAATGGTGGATTGATAGAGAATTGGTTAGGTCTGTGATCAAATATGGCGAAAGTCATGTCTTTCGTTTCGTCATCAGGTGGGTTCAAAAGCCTCCTTCAACTACTTTCCTTTCTCAAAACTAATTCACTGTTCTAGCGTTTGTCAACCGTCTGTATATGATGTAGCAGGTTCACAGTTAGTCTTGGAAGCTATCTTCGATGACGCTGATGTCAAGGTTTTCAAGGTATGCTAGCTATTATCATGTGCTGTTTAACGTTACCTTTAATCCTTATTTCTGCAGGTTCCGAACGCACTTGCTATTGTCAGTTCTTCGTAAATGTTAGGATTAACTCTTTGGTATAACTCACGGTTTCCAGTCTCAGAGACTCCATGGTCTTGATAGTTGTGTGTTGGAGGTTTCTTTTTTGTCGTGTTAACACTATGTGCCAATGTCAGATTCATATATAGTCGGTTCTAGTTATGTCTGATTTGACGATCGTCGAAGTTTCCGGTTTGCCGTTTTAACGGGTTTTTCGCATCGCTGTGAGATATTTTCTAGTTCACCTTGTATTGCATTTCACTTAATAGAGTGTATGTAGTTTTCATCTCCTCTTCACTCTTTACCATGTACTTTAAAGTGAAGAGGTAGAGATCTTAATAAATTTTTCAAATCTAGTCATAATTCTTCTATGCTTTGGTTAATTTCCATCCTACCACCTGTTTTTCTAGTCATATTGTTGATCTGTTTTACCACGTTACTTAAACCTTTGGTTTCTTTCTTCTAGGGATGGCCTCGCAAACTCAAGGAATTCAACAGCTTCTTGCTGCTGAGAAGAGAGCAGCAGAAAAGATCAACGAGGCCAGAAAGAGAAAATTCCAGCGTATGAAGCAGGCTAAGCAGGAAGCTCAGGCTGAAGTGGAGAAATACCGTCAGGTAGGCTTTTTCTGGATCTAATTGCTTGGTAAATACTAAAGTGCTGGAAGTTAGAATCAATGGTTGTCAAAGGTTTTGTCGCTTTCTTGGGAGACTTTTCAGCCTGCACTAATTCTGTCTTTTCTGGCTCATGAAGCATTTAACTTCCTTCAGGAGCGAGAACGTGAATTCAAGGAGTATGAACAGACGTACCTTGGAACCAAGGAGGACACTGAAATAAAAATCCGACGTGATACTGAGAACGAAATTGAGGCCATGAAGAGAAATGTAGCCGCAAATAAACAGCAGGTCAGTAGTATTCTACTTGGATTATTTTTCTTACAACTGCGTGGTGATTTCTAGGTTATTGTACGTCTACTGCAATTGGTCTGCGATATCAAACCGGAACTGCATCATAATCTTATTCTTCAGAAGAAGCTCCACGGCCAATTCTCTTAATAACTTCGTCTTTTCTACGCGAAGAATTTTACTGAATTCAAATTATCGACTTTCACTATTCTAATCCCTTCTTGAGTCACATTCCGAGTTCCCTACTTTTATTTGTTGTAGGCTTTTCCGAGCAGCGATCTGTGCACTGTGTATACCTGCTGTGAGGTTGCAAGGTGAATTAGTAATCGTAGATCGCCCATAATCTGTAATCGTAGTAGTCTTTAATTACCTGTAGCCATGCACGAATAAAGATTATTGTTTTTTCTTTTCCTCTTTAGTCCGTCGGTTTCTTCCTTCAGAGTACTTTGTTTCTATTACTGACGCTCTTTCCGCATCTACATTCAATCTTAGTTTGTTTGTTGTGACTCAGACATGTTATCAACTTTTGAAAGAAACGCGAGCGATATCGATGTCGCTTTAAACATCCAGGGTGGGCATGAAACGTGAAGAAGATGCAATATTTTCTACTCTGTTGCTGCACAATTCCTTGCCTGTGGTGGTTGTGGGCTCGCTTTCATCCTTGTGGAAGCATGGTCGGTGTCAATAATTGACCTTTGAAGGGTTTTCCAAATAATACCACAATACTGCGAGCAGTGATTTCATTTGCCCGACTTCGGTTCAGAAACATCGAGACACTACTGTTCTAGTTCCTGGGACTTATAGCTACTAGTCTATAATATAGTATAGTTGGTCTTCATTTCGATTCGCATGAATCTGGACTTAATATGCTGTTTTCCGAAGCTGGCCTGTTCTTCATCTTGATTATGTTAGGTAATGAGCAACTTGAGTTTTGGTGCTCGGGTATTGTAATGAGTGTTATAACCAATCAGATTGAACTAACGCTCGAACGAGACACGATTTACTTCTGATTTCATTTTCGAAATTCGCTGTGAACCTGTTCAAAGAACCGAAAACATCGTTTATTCTCTGTCATCGCTTCCCTTTCCCCCTTTCTCTATCAGGCGGAAAAACGTGCTTTTCAATGATCATCTGAGGCACAGGTCGTTTGTTTCCTAGAAATCAATTTCCGGGCGCTTTGATTACAGTGACATGACTTGTTATTAGAGGTAATTTCTAGTCATTCAATCTAAAATTGTGATTCATCGAAAAAGTACTCAGTTTTCAACATTGAAAAAGAATGTTGGGAAATTGATGTGTTGCCTAATATGCGAAGGCTGCGATTTTCGAAAACTTGGCGGACATGTGACTAAGGGCAGGATCCGGTTGCTGGTGTGGTTCTTCGACCTGCACGTAACCATGCACTTTACGTCGAAGAAATTGCGAAATTGATTTTTTCTTTCAAGAAGGAGCATACCCACGAACTCGCGCTTTAGCACTAAATACATTCTGCTGCGGTTGTTCCCAGGGCCATTCTATTGTGTGTGTTTCTTGGAAATCGAACTAGTTTTCTTATTATTAATGTCACCGATTGCTGTATGAGGCAAAGAAGGTAGGAAGCAGTTATACTCGGAGTTGGTTTTATTAAATATGTCATGGAGACTGGGTTTCTTGAGTTTCTATGATTCCTATTCTAAATCTAACTTACATTCTGTTGACCTTTATACATATTATTTTTCTTATATATAGGTTCAGAATTAATGTATAAGAATCTCAGTGAGAAGCGCTCTTCCGATGAATTTTAGAGTGGTCTCGCTGTAGAGTCCTCTATGATGAGCTTAATTCATTATTAGAACCGCTTATTTCATGATCATTAGATTCATCAATGGAGGGTACCACAATCCGTAGGAATTATTTAAATATAATCGGTCATAAATGCGATAATTTGTGTACGAAATTTGTTGCACCGGATTGTTTTTGTTGAAGTAGTTATTTCGAGGGAATCCTTCCGTAACCTTTGAGTGCTGTGCAGATATACCTGCGTTTGTAAATGCTGACATTATACGGTTCATGGTGAAACCATGCTAACCTGACAGCAAACTTTTTAATTTGGAAAATCCAATCGTGCTCAAATTCGAATTCAAAATGGTTGTGGCTGGATTTTGATGTTGAATTTGAAATGATTTGTCCTTTATCACTTGCTTATACATGAAGAATATTATGTCGTTTCAAAAATAGATTAGAAATGTATGTTCATTAAAACTGCATAGCTTCGTGGGCAAGTGCTCAAGAATATTTCGCTACTGTCTCGAACTGGATTGATACACCTTGTATCTTCACACCGAAGCTGTTTGGGTCAGATTGTCTTCATATTAAATGTTAGGCCGACGTAGAGCTCAAGGTCGAAAGAAGAAAAGAATGCTTATTAATTTTATGGGCAAAGATTGTTCTTATGACTGAAAATGCGTAGTCCCTAACGTTCTCCCTCAGTGTAATTACGTGCCCCGGTATTTACAAACAAGAAAGTAGATTAATGTTGTAAACTTTGCAACGCATCTGCATAGCTGCAGTTCGAATTTTGTTGGACAGCGACTTGATCCTAAAAACTGGTAATTTTAATTTCAGCTACGTTGACTAGTTGGAAGTAAGAGCTCAATTCGATAATAGTGCACAAGCTTTGTGCTTTTGACATGAAATAAGAGATTGTTACGTAATGTATGCGAGTAAGAAGTGATAGGGAGAAATAATAGTCTGTTAAACACGAACAGTTAAACACGTTTTGTGTTTTTGCGGAAAACGTGGGCCCCTTAGAGTTCGTCCTCCGCGAAAAAATTTGATGAACGTCAGCCGTAGTTTTTCCCCTATTTAAGTGTTTTGCCGTTCCCGGGCCGTCGGTCGACATTCTGAAGATCGACGGCTTCTCTATTTTTAGCAAACCACTGAATAAGCGTTATATTTGCCTACTTTACCTCCTTTACGTATAATTTCCTGATTTTTCACATTAACTGCCTAAAAGCTTACGTTGCTAAGACCCTGCTTTTTAAATAGTTTTCTTTCTCTTCTTCTTGGAATCTATTTTTATGCTGTTTCACGTCCTGTTTAATATTCTTTCATTGTTTAACATGGTAATTTTCCATATTTTTTCATAATCTTCTGTTATATCCGTTCTTCGTTTCCTTTTCGTTAACTCATGTTGAATAGTTCTGCACACCCGGTCTGGAAAATAATCTGGCGGCCCGTGACCTATTGCGTTTATGATCATTTTAATTTTTCAATGGATGGGTTATTGTGATCAAGACGGAATGTGCTCCATTGCTCCGAATTGTTGCTTAGACCTCACTCTAGTCGCGCCATGCATTCTGCACACCACCACTTGTGTGACGTGGCACCATCATCTCGACGATAGAATTGCTCGTCCCTTAAGCGCCCTCTGACGAGCGATAAACAAGAGCGGAATTTCAGGACGATACCGGGAGGGAGCGAGCGTCCAATGAACTGAACTTAAATCTACTAGAGATCGTATTTTTTTACGTACAGGCAAGAATATTAGCATGTGTCTCATATAGAGATGAATGCTTGTGGGAAAGATTGCGGGGCACTTCTCATTAGACGTCAGTCTTCTGCCGCGTATCAGGATGAAGGCAAATGGAACCGATGCCCACTTTCGAAAATGCGCAGGGGGGGGGGGGGGGNNGGGGGGGTAATCCATTCAGGCAAGATTATCGAGCATCTTCATGAGATTCGCCTATGAACCCGTAACCAAGATAGCAAACAGTTTTATCCGGCTTCGTTTCGGCTTTGTTGCCTTCATCAGAGCCTGGATAGCCTAAGATAAATGCGGTCCATTCTAGGTTTCTACATAGCAGCATATCGAGCTTCTACAGCAGTAATGGGAACATTAAACTTACAGTGTTTATAACCACCTCACTTCTTAACTTTTCTCTATGTAATTCACGGCTATTACTTAACCAATAGATAAAGTTAGTATTCGATTTTGCATCCTTCTTAGGTATAGTAATGATGTGACTGGTAATCTGTTTAACTGCTTGCTTGAGATTTCACTCGCAATTTCTATACCGTTGAAAGCAGTGGTACAGGAAATTTTCTGGTTGGAAATTCATGATGATTGTTTTGTGCGTGTTCCGTAGGCAAGATACTTTGTATTTTATTATAATAATTGTTATTTCGGATGATCGAAATTACGGTAAACGATCGCTTGGGCAAGAAAGTTCGAATCAAATGCAATCCAACCGACACCATCGGCGACTTGAAGAAGTTGATTGCCGCACAAACGGGAACCAGGTAACTTCCCCTGGATATTCGAGAAACCCATTTGTCTTTGCTAAATGACATCCATATTCAGGTACGAAAAAATTGTTCTGAAGAAGTGGTACACTATTTACAAGGACCACATCACCCTCCAGGACTACGAAATCCATGAGGGATTCAACTTCGAACTCTATTACCAATAGTCTTCTCAAGCTTCTGTACAATTCACATGTTAATCACATCATGCTGTATTTGGCTCCCATATTGTGCTCCATTTGTTTCCCTTGTTTTTCCTTTCGTTCGGTTCCTGGGCTGTAGTATGGCTTATAATATGTACTATTTTTCTTTACAATATTTGATGTTCCTCATTTTATTACCAGCAGTGACTTGAGCGGTTTCTTTGAATCCAATAAAGGATCATTAATTGGGGTCAGTGTTGATTGCTTG